CCGCCGGCCCCAGGACCGCCCCAGGCACGTTTTAAAATAAAAGAAGTTCGGCTTAAACACGATAAAATTCGGCCAAACACGATAAATTTCGGCACATTTCGGCGAAGTTTGCGGATTTTCATTACATAGCACATATACATAAACTAATCTAAAGGAAAAACTGGCTGAAGTCGCCGCCATCGTCGTCATCGGCCTTCTCCTCCTTGACGCGGGCGCCCCTGCTGGACCTCTGCCCGGCGTCGCCATGGCGGACTGGTGGCGGCGCATCGTCGTCATCGTCGTCGCTGTCGCAGATGACGACGACTCCGCCTTCGTCGCGGCCGCGTCGACGCTCCGCGAAGCGAAGCAGGGCGGCGTGCTGGCGCTCCTTCGCCTTCTCCAGGCGCTCCTTCTCCATCGCTATGAAGTCCCTGCGCGCCCATTCCAGGGCCGCGTCATCGTCGTCGAGCTCCGTCGTCACCGGCGCGGCCGGCTCCTACACCGGCGCGAGCCCCGGCTCCGTCTTTAGATTGACGAAGGGCGGAGGAGGAGCCGACGAGTAGGCGCGCCGGCCGCCCTCGTTGATGACGATGCCGGCGTTGCGAGTGCGTCGGCCGAGCGGCGTCTCCGCCGCGGGCTCGGCCTTGACGCCGAGCAGGGCCGGAGTGCCGGAGGAGTGCGATGAAGATCGGGAGGAGGAAGAAGAGGAGGAGGACCCGAACCTCCTTGGCGCCCATGGCCCGGCGCGTCGGTGCTGCGCCGGGGCGGCCGCCCTCGCCGGGTATGCCAACGGCGGGTCGTTGCCGCCCTCGAGGTACGTTAGCACGCCCTCGAGTGTGCGGCCGGGGACGCCCCACCACAGCTGGCGCCCCTCGCTGTTCTGCCGGCCGCCAACCACCGGCACGCCGTTGATGGACGCCAAGCGCTGCTGCTGGCGGCGCTCGAAATACGCCGCCCAAGCCGCGTGGTTGTCGGCGGCGTACTGGGGGAGGGAGAGTTGGGCGTCGGTGAGGGAGGCGCGCACGACCTCGACTTCCTCGGCGAAGTACTTCGGCTTCGCCACGGTGTCGGGCAACGGGGGAATGGGCACTCCTCCGGTGCTGAGCCTCCACCCCGTCGGCCCGGCGCGCATGTCCGGCGGCGCCGGGATGTTCGCCTGAAACAGGAGCCAGGACTCATGTTCGCGGAGCGAACGGCGGCCGAAGCCGTTGGCCGCCGCCGCCTCGTCTCCGGGGTAGCGTTCTGCCATGGCGACGGGCTCGGGAGAGGTAGAGAGATAGAGGGAGGGGCTGGGCGGCGGCGCTCGGGAGAGGTAGGGAGAGGGAGGAGCTGGGCGGCGACGAGGTGCGGGGCTGGTGTGGGCACAGGCGAGTGCAGGCCACCGGCTATATAGCCGCGCCGCACCCGTGTGTACGCGTGCGAGGGAGGGGAGGCGTCGGCGCGTCGTCCCGTGACGCGCCGCCCGTGAGGAATCAATGGCAAGGCTGACCGGCGGCAGCCTTGCCATTGATTCCCCGCGGGAACCGAGGCTGTTGGGGGAAGACGAGGCGCCGTGTCGCTGACGCGGCGGGCCCGCGACTGTTTCGCGCCAAAACAGTTTGCCCCGGCGCCCCCGGGCGCCCCCCAGCGCGCCGGGTTCGACCTGGGTCCGCCGGCGCTGTTTTCGGTCCAGGCCGGCGAAAATCGGGCTTCTGAAGGCGCGACTGTGCCTTTTTTTGGCACCGGCGCGAAAAAATCGCGTGGGGAGGCCTTCCTAGGGTCGTGGCTAAAGATGCCCTAAGCATGGACGTTTGTGTATGTACATATGGGTGAGAGGCACTAGTCCCATGGCTGGCGTGAATCACACTCACGAGTGGAAATTGCGAGAGCTCACATCACAAAAGGACACGGGCATCTTCCTACTCGCATAGGGACATGATGGATCAGAATTGGGCACAGTGCACACACGCGTCCAGGCCGGGAAGGCACTGGATATCCAGGTCTCGCGTATTCACACTGGCACGTCATACACAGCCACACACTGATCTATCTGGCAGATTACCTGGCAGCCAGTACGTGCCGCGAGGCCGATCTTGCTGGCTATAAAATGCTGCCCGGCGCTTCGAGAGAGAGTGCAAGGCAAGACTGGGAAGATCATAGAGAGAGCCAGCCATGTACACTACCAAGAGGTGCATTGCCACGGCCATCGTGGTGGTGCTCTGGCTCCAGGCCGCCGCGGACGCCCGCCGCCTCTCCCCCCGCGGCGTGATCCGGCTTCCGAGCGATGGCAGAGGTTCGTGACTGACACACGTGCCCGTGAACTACTGTTTGTTGCCACATACTCCTTCCGTCCCATAATGCAAGACATTTTTGTAATGTTAAAAAATGTCTTGCATCATGGGCCGGAGAGACTACATGCTATTTCTACTTCGTTTATTGCTTATTACGGATGGACTCACTGTAAGCATGGAAGATCTCAGGTGATTCTGTTGATCGAGTCGGGTCGTCAAAGGTGATCGGCATAGAGGATCCATTCTATACTTGTCCGGATGGCAAGGTGCTGAAATGCAAAGTCATTGCGTTCCAATGGTATTGCGATTGCGTGCGTGAAAAAGGTGTTGGCCCCACCGATCAAGCCATGTCGGTGGCGGCGAGCTCACCGAGGAAGATCGGTGAGGAGATGTTGTCGCGGAAGAACTCCGACGACAAAGGTGCTTCAGTTAATGAAACATATGCCACTATTGTTATTGTTAAAAAAAATCTTAATTGGAACATTTTAACTAACTTTTGTGCCACGTGGATAAACTAACTTACGGATGGCCTCAGGTGGTCCTACCGATCAGGTCCAAGTGACAAAGGTGCTCAACGATCTAGAGCCGTGGTGGCCGTGTCCGGACGGTACAGTACAGAAATGTGAACTCGTTGCATTCAAAATATACTGCAAGTGCGTGCCTAAAGACGGTGCAGGTCTCACCGATCGATCCATGTCGGCGCCGGCGCACTCGGCCAGGAAGAAGGACGGCGACGATGTCGCCGTGGGCGACGGTAACTAGCTAGCGCATACGCCCGAGTGACATGCTAGCAATATACTCCCTCCGTCTCAAATTATTTGTCTTATATTCGTCCAGATATGTTGGGACGGAGGTAATATATACGTAAAGCAATACTAATAAGGTCCAGCACATATGGTTGCATGGACACCTTTCCCGTTTTGTTATATACTAGTCGTATGCATGTGCGTTTATATACGCCCCACGTGATATGGCAAATCAGGGCTAGCACGCACGCTCTGTAGATCATCTCATCAGGCTGTATTTTTTGAAGTGTCGCTAGCTCCTGTATG